TCGTTAAAAAATTCCCTCTTAGATTACTCCAAAAAGGAGTAACTAACGGAAGGAGGAAAAGAGTGCCTAATTTTATTGAATAGATTAACTATTACAATAACATACACCAATACATTAAGAGCAACAGAAAAAAACTACAATCCTTAACACTCCCTAGGAAAAAAAGCTTTACAATCAACCGATCCCCTCCTCAGCCAATTTATCTGTCTCCCAATTGCAGCCCCTTGGAATAAATTTAATAATAACTGCCCTCTCGAAAACTAAGGACACAATATCCAAAACAAGGGATCTGAAGAAAATAGGAGTCGAGTTAGGCAATAAAATCCAGTCCACTGCAGATTTGCAGTCACTTTCCAAGATCAGTCTTCCCCTCACAGCCCACTCTGAAGATAGAAAAACGTCAATGCCTTTCTTAATAGCTTTTAACTCAGCCAAAGGAGGAGGGCCTGGACCAACACTAATAGAAAAAGTTGATAAAATGATACTGCTACAGTCTCTCAAAATACCTCCAATTCCACCAGCCAACCCATCATACTTAACAGCCCCATCAACATTAAATTTGTAAAAATTTGCTGGGGCCGGATGCCAACATTGTGTCAAACTTCTGTTAACATGTTGAATAAAAACGCTGTCCACAAGAGAGGGGTCCCTTGCCAACAAATCAACTTGAATTTGGACTTGTGGAAACTTAGCTAGAAACCATTTAGCTAACCTAAACCTCATTAGGAAGAAGAGAGGTTATATCTAGGCTCATCTTATCAAACACAATTGAATTCCTTGCTTTCCAAATAGACCAAAGAACTACCCCCAGGATGAATTTCCATATGTGCTAATTAGTCTTTAATTCAGACCAAGAAGTTAACAAAACCATTGGATCATGAGGCAAAGCTGTATAAATATCCCACATCATCAAAAATTTGTTCCAAAGGTCCCTTGCAACTGAACAAGAAATAAAAAGATGCTGGATTGTTTCTTCTTTCTTTCGACAAATTGGACATAGGACATCTTCCAAAAGAGCCCCTTTTTCATCAGCTCCATTTTAACTTCCAATTTTTGGTGAGAAATTTGCCAAAGAAAGGTTTCTACTCTTGGAGGAGCCAAACCTGACCAAACCCACTTTTTCCAGGAAAAACAAACTCCCGAATTATTTGGTAATGCCAACCTGCAGGATTTAACCGAGAACAAACCATCCCCCTTCCCAGACCAAGAAAGAAAGTCCTCCATTGAATCGGATAACTCAAAACAATTAAGTTTTAACATTAATTCGACTCATTGGTTCAATTCCCAATCACATAAGTTCCTTCTAGTTTGAACATTCCACACCCAGCCATTAACATCAAAGCTTTCGAAATCTGCCACCTTATCCCTTTTATTATTTGATAATGCAAAGATCCTGAGGAATTGAGTCTTCAAGGGTGAGTCATTGACCCAAACATCATTCCAGAACGAAATAAACTTGACATTTCTCAATTGAGTCCTAGTATGAGACCTCAAACATCCTCCAATGTCATCATTTTTCAAATAATTGTTCACAATCATTTTCCAAATCCAAGAATCTTGAGGTGAAACTACATTGCTAATTGACAGTGATAATGTACTAACGTTGTGTTTATTGCACATCATCTTTTTCTTCTTTGCTTTCCTTGATTATACCTTTCAAAGCTACAAACCTAAATGATATTTTCAGCACCTGAGGTAAGAACCAGTTCTCATCCCATAAGGTGAGTATACCTCCTTATGCTCCTTCTGCCGGCGACTCAACAAACCCACCAAGGTACTTACCCCCCAACTTCCTTCTCAAAGACTGATTAACCAACTCCAATTTCGTTTCTTGCACAAAAAGAAACAATGGTTTCTTATTTAATACTACCTTCTTCACTGCCCTTACCTTTTCCTTCCTTCCTAATCCCCTAATATTCCAAGTTACACAAGATACCCCTACCATTACTGATTAATAAACACCTTCATCAAAGATGTTGGATTAGATCCCACCCTTCTCACTCCTACTCGAATTCATATCCGAAAACTTTTCAGTAAAAACTAGTTTTCCTCCCTTAAAAGTTACACCTAACATATTACTAACCTGCCAAGTTGATTCTAGCTCCTCATTTTCTCTCGAATCATCGACTGCAGAAAATATCTTCTCCGAATCACCTCTAAGGTTTTTCCTACTTGACTTGTTGTTGTACACTATATCACAGAAAGTGGTAGCAGCTGTGCTCGGACATCATCTGTTTGGTTGTGGGGATGAAGAACACCTCCTTCTTAGCACTTTCCTTCCCTCTGAACCACTGAAACCTGCCTCCAATGAACCTTTCCCCATTTTTGTTTCGACCAAAAAGTCTGCTGCAGAACTCCTAGTGACTCCACCCAAGATTCAATTTGATTCCCATAACCCAATTTTATTAAGTTTGCAGCTGGCCCTCAAAATCCCCTCTAAAATTCAAACCATCTGCTGGAAAGTCTGACACCCTATCTCCATTAGGTTGACCTTCTCCTACCTGCCACATTGATTGATGTCTCCCACTGCCATCAAAGAAACCCGCACCATCATCCCCTTCCAACCATGTGTCCACCCTACACCTACCATCCTCAGCTAACCTATCAGATCTACCAACCCCTCCTGAAATCTGGTCTTCTTCCTCCTCTAACGATGCAACATCCCTATACACCATCGTCAGCCACCGCTGAAGACATTGCTGAAAAAGCATTTTGTTTTCTAAAAACCGACCCCAAATTAATTTTAACTTTGAATGATCTCCCATATGATCCCAATGTAATTGATTCCGATATATCGAAAGGGCTGGCCACCCTCAACAAGATACTAGCAACGGCCATGTCCTCTTTTGTAACGGTCGAATCATGGATACAGATCAGCTTCCCCCACCTTGTAGCAAGTTTTTCCATAAAAGGAACATTCTAACATAATAAAGGGACACCAACTAGTGCAACCAAACAGAAGGCCATAGGAAAACCTTCCTCATTCAGTAGAGGTTCAAGCCATTCAAACCAAAAGGATAATTCTTCCATTTTGTTCGACCACATCTCCTCTAGTTCTTCCATCAAATCAAAGGTGATAATGCATGAGTTCCATGCATATCCCCACTTAGCTAGCTTAACCTTAATACTGTCGCTGGCCAAACCCTTCTGCACTAGATCCAAATCAAAATGAAATTTAATAATCCCTGTCAAGGATCTTTTCACCCAATCCGATTCATTCGAAGGGATATGCATCTCCCACACGTTCCTCTTCCCTGATTCTATTTTTGAAAGCTCCTCCCTAGTCTTTTTCCTCACCTGTTCTTCCATCAGCCTGCCATTGCAGATTAAAGCATCCTTATACGATCTTTCATCCCTCAATCGACTCAAAGACTCTTCTCCAGGTTTTCTTCTCCAATTCAGTCCCTTATTCAACGTATCTTCTTGCATTTTGGATTTGCTACTAACAGCTAGCCGAGACCACTATTTTTTATATTTAGCAACCCTGATAGATACTTTCTTCCCATCAATCCAAATAATATTTACATTCGCAATCACCTTCTTCAAACCTTCCTCCTTCGCGAGCTGAATAAAAGCAAAAGTATGGTTTCTATAATTCGGTTTGTTAGTAACATTCGGAATGTAGACTCGCAGAACACTACCCTATTGTTGAAAAATTTCCCTAACCGTTCTCCTAGAGACTCTCTTACTCAGGTTGTCCACAAACACCGTCCAATCCTCACCGGAGGACTGATAACCTTTGAGACTTTCTCTCATTCTCTCTCTGACACTCTTTCTCAAGACTAATTGGTAATTCCTAATTTAGACATTCATTTTTCCTTCTTCGTGTTCCCTCGATCTCTTCATCCTTGAAATTTTCATTGTCAAGTTGAATTTGGAAGGAAGTTACATTAGAAAGTTAAAATTTTACATATTAACTTTCAATAGTTCTAAATGCAGAAAAGTTGAGACAGTGGTCATAATGAATTACGCTAAAAATATTGAATATAAACAAAAACAAATAAAGTGGGGAGGAGTGTTGCCTAAACGCACATTTGATTGTTTTGAAAGGGATAGAGTTTACTTCATATCAATAATTGAAGTTTACTACATAAAAATAACTGAAACTTTGGAAAGGGAGTACACTTTTTATGCACATATTATGAAGTAAAATGATTACATAATTAATTTCACAAATCAACACCAGTTTCCTGCCCTCTCAGATGAGATTTAGATATTCTCAAGGCAATCACCTGAAGAATCTTGGTCAACTAAGATTAGAGTCGCATAGGATCACCAAGGTCCTATCAAACATAATGAACTAATCACCAATTTGGTGAACCTTGGAATTCAGTGTGATCACCTCATACCAAAGACCTTGGAACACTGAAGAGAAATCAAAATTCACTAGCTAGAGCATTACTACTGATATTTTGTTTTCTCTTTTGTACATTCTTATGGCCCAACTATTCCTTTTTCTACTTCAAGGGAAAAACTAATTCATTGCAAATTCAATGGTTATATACAATGATATATAAGAATTCTTGGCCTAGCAGCATGATATTGGAAGGAAAAAAGATGCATTACACGAAGGGAATAACAAAATTTCATTAATAGGATTGATGAAAAATAACAGAAACACGTGTATGGAAGACATCTAGCATATGTTGAAGTTCCAAGTTCATAAGAAACCAACTCGTTCAAAAATTGTAGAGGAAAGATCAAATGGGCGGGAAACCAATTTAAACTATCTCAAATCAACTTAAACTATTCAATTATACAAAATGTATGTTCGACATGCAAAGACAACATAGCCATATTTAACACAACTAATAATTGCAAAAGTGGACAGAGAAAAGACAGCAACAGCGCATGTTGAGAATACTAACAAAGGAGGAGAAAACACAAGGAAATAAACATGATACGAACATAAGAAAACTATGGGTTCTACCATTCATGTCATTTCAACATTCTAATGGTCAAAAATCAAATTAATATTCAGAGAGCTATCCTCCACATACTCTGAATCAGTTTCTTCATCTAGCATTCGAAACAGATTATCTTCTATTTGTTCATCAATGACAGAAACCTGCAAGGATACCATGAACAGAAGTTATCAAACGGGGTTGGGGGACGATAAGAGAGATGAGGCATTAGCAAATGGGAATATAAAAACAAGATTCATGACTTCACTACTCACAGGGTACTTCTCAATGAGATGTCGTAGGGTGGAGACTGCAAGATGCCTTAACGCAGGCTGTATCAAAGAAAACCTGCTTAGTAGCAGATTTGACAAAAACTTAAGCTATTTACTTGAGAACTATCAAAATAAACAGGAAAAAACCTGTCTTGATGACAGAGTCAGCAGAAGAGTTTGGACATGGGAGTGCACTGAAACAGCTTGTGGAGCAAAAAGGACAAGTTGTTGTGTGAAACGAACACTCCTGAAAGATTAATAAGCTCTCAAGTATCATCCATTGCGAAAGTAGAATATAAAATTCTACCAAATGTCTAGTCAACCCAAGAAAAGGTTGCACGGTAGAAAAACAGAGAGCAAACATAGAAACAATAAAATTTTCAGGACATACTCAAGTAGTGTAGCTGTTTCTTCTGAGGAACTAATCTCCGCAACAACAGACTGTAAAAGAGATAGTATGTCCATAGTAACTTCAAGATGAAAAGGACGAATGCAAATATGTACAGTTCTAATTCAAGGATATGGCAGTTTACCAAATCTATGTCCTATTGAAAGGGAAATTCAAAGATGAAAATACCTTGCAGCGTGAAAAGAAAATGCTGCCAGGAGCAAGCTCAGGACCAAGAACAGCAACAATTGCATTTATAAGACGCCCCACGCCTTGTTGGAGGTCAACTCTCCCATTCTCTTCAGACAACAAAATCTCCAACGCGAGGCCAAGTGTTGCCTGTATTTTAATAGGGAAAGAAGAGAATGTGGAAAGAGCGAGAAAAGTTGTGAATCAATGAAAATATATACCTAACACCCACTGCTACTTGTCCAACTGAAAAACAATTGGTAATACATTGGGAGACCAGATCTAAATATAAGGCCATAATAGTATATTTTTAATTTACTCAATTTTGGATAACACAGCTTAACATTCTCCTCCATGTCTAGTCTGATTCTAACAACTTAAGTGGATTTAACAACGTAGAAAAAATGTTTCTGATGAAATTTTCTATGTGCGATGCATTGTACTAATCCAAGAGGCTAGCTCTGAAAATATTTCATTGCTTCAATAAGAATTTATGTCAAAAATAGTTTCATAAATTTTCATTTGTTCGGGCTCTCAACAAATATAACTACCCAACTCTGAGAAACCAAAAAAAAGGGTAAAAGACAGTCCAAACCACAAAGGCTCCCACCAATATCGGCATGGTTCACTTGATTCAAGAATCACGAAGTCGAATACCTGTACATGAGATACAAAGGACAAGCCGGCAGCTTCAATGGTCAAAAGAAGTCCATGCAAAGACCAGATCTGTAAGCCGGAGATTGAACTTTTAGCAAGCAAAGATATTGTGCTTACGGTTGCAGGCACTAAGGTTGCAAGTGCCATCCCTCCAGCACTACAACAAAGATAAAAAAATTATTAAGAACATACATCCCTCTATATTTAAGATTATTGCAAACTAACACATAACCATCATTGAAGATAATCAAAAATAGTAATATAAGATTAACTATGGCATTGTATTTAAAATTCAGCATGGAAGAAACAGTGAAATGTTGCAAAACACCATGGTATGATTAATAAAGGATGCCACTTCAAACAATAAATGAAATAAAAAACACAGCTTTTAAGAAGCGAAACCACAGAAAATGCAACTTGTTAAATGGTTTTGTTACAAGCAAGACAGTTTCTGAACTTCAACCATCATACAAAAGATATTTTGTGTACAATAATTTAATATTAAACTAATTAATATTACAACTATTTTCTCTTTTCAGTTAGAAGCTAAGAACCCACTTTTCAGAAAAAGAACTCGGACATTAAAACACTCATTTGAAATAAAAACCACACTAAGTATATGAATATAGTGTGAAGGGGACAACATTCTATGTGGCAATATTTTGATAATTCACCTGCGATTAAGGAGGGCATTGGTTGAATGTGTGCAGTCTTGGAACATGGCATTAATCATACCTTTATTACTCTTATTCCTAAGGCCTCTAACAGTGGTGACCTTGATGACTTTAGACCTATTAACTTAGTTGGTGGATTATATAAGATCCTCTCTAAGTGTCTTTCGAGGAGGTTGAGGAGCTATATTTCAGAATTAATTAGTCCTACACAATTTGCTTTTATCCCAAGTCGACAAATATTAGATTGTTCTCTAATTGCTAATGAAGGAGTCGATTTTTTGAGGAAAAATGGACTTAAGGGCTGTGTTTTCAAAGCTGATTTCAAGAAAGCATATTCGGTTGATTGGAATATTCTGTTTCTAGTAATGGAGAAAATAGGATTCGGTTCCAGGTGGAGAGGTTGGATCAGAAAATGTGTAACCACGGCTTCAGTTTCGGTTTTAGTTAATGGAGTTCCTACTGAAGATTTCACAATGGCAAAGAGACTTAGACAGGGATGTTCTTTATCCCCTTTGTTATTTAATTTTATTGGCGAACTTCTCAACTTACTAATTTTAAAGGTTGTCGCACAGGGAATGTTTTTTGGATTGGTTATTGGAAGGGATGAGGGGTCTTTCAACCTATCTCATTTACAATTTGCGGATGATCTCATTATCTTTTGCGGTGCTTCGAAAATGCAGATTCTAAACGTGAAGAGGGTGCTTCGAGTGTTTCAAGTGATTTCGGGTTTACAGCTCAACATGAAGAAAAGCAAACTGTTTGGTGTTAATTTGAATGAAGAGGAAGTTCATGAGTGGGCAAACACTATCGGATGTTCAGTTGGTAGCTTTCCTTCTGACTATCTAGGGCTTCCATTGGGTGCTACTAGGAATTCTGTTGTTATTTGGAATCCAGTGGTCAGTAATTTTACCAAAAAATTAGCAGGATGGAAGGCTTCCTCCCTTTCTTTAGCAGGGAGATTGGTTTTGATTAAGTTGGTTCTATGTTCGCTCCCTACTTATTATTTATCATTATTTAAGATACCAGCCTCGGTTCTTAAAACCCTCAACTAAATTATGTCCAATTTCTTATGGGGAAGGGGAAATGGTAAAAATAAGATTTACTAGGTTAGTTGGCCGAATGTGTGCAAATCAAAGATGGAGGGGGGCTTGGGTGTTTTGAATCTTAACTTGATGAATAGAGGACTTCTAGAAAAATGGTCTTGGAGGTATGCAAATGAAAGGGGGTCTGTTTGGAGGGAATTTATTTGTTCAACATATAATATGGATCCTTCTTTGTTAATGTTTGACAGTAAGATCCCAAATAAAGTTTTTTGGATTTGGAGATCTGTGGTAAATAACCACTTGAAAGATGACCCCATTGGCTCCAAGTTGAGAAGTATGTTTTCTTTTTTAGTTGGAGATGGCAAATTTATTAGGTTTTGGCATGACATTTGGGCTTTGGATTATTCTCTTTTGCTCATTTTCCCTAGATTTTTTCTATTTCCACAAACAAAACATGTAAATTGTTTGAATTTGAGGATTATAGCTCTTCAGGATGGATTTGGGATGTGCAGTTTCGAAGGAACTTAAATGACTGGGAATTAGAGCAGTGGTCTAATTTGTTGGCTGTCATCTCGACTTTTTCTCTATCTATGGAAAAATTTGATGGGATGATTTGGAAAGGTTCTGGGGATGGGGTATACACTGTGAAATCTGGTGTTAATCGTTGTTCATCCGATTCTTTGGGATCGGAGGAGGTCTATTATTGGAAAAAGATTATTTGGAGGGGTCAGCTGCCACCAAGAGTAGATTCTTTTATGTGGCAGGTTGTTCTAGGGAAGCTAGCTGTTAAAACAGAACTTGTTAAAAGAGGAATTCAAGGAATTGAAGACTTGTTATACCCTCTTTGCACGATGGAGGAAGAGTCTCTCTCTCATCTTTTTTTCTCGTGTTCGGTGGTGTGGTCTATTTGGAATAAATTTCTCAATTTTTGGAAGATTAAGTCTGTTTTTCATACTAATGCTAAAAGCTTTCTCCTTGCTTGGGATGCTTTGAAGACTAACTCTCTGATTTGGTCTCTCATTCCAGGAGTCGTTCTTTGGACCACTTGGAAAATTAGGAATTTTTCTTCTTAGCAAGGTTTAGGCTTGCTTCTTGGTTCCTAGCAAAGAATAAAGGGGTGCCTATTCTAAAGGATTCTCTTATTTCAGATCCCTCTTTAGTGGACTCTTGTTCTCTCCATTCTAATCAGATTGTATCTATTCTTCCTTGGTCTCCTCTTATGGGTTTTGTAAAACTTAATGTAGATGCAGCTACTACTAAGGATTGGAAGAAGAGCGGATTAGGAGGAGTTTTAAAGGATTTCTCAGGAATTACCTTAGGCTCTTTCAAGGAATCTGCTGGTCCGGGGCCTCTGACCTTTATGGAATTAAAAGCTATTCAAAAGGGGTTGATATTCTATGTTGATTTTCGAGAAAGGATACAAGACCATTTGATTATTGAAAGTGACAGCAAGGTAGTAGTGGATTGGGTTAAGGAGGTTGAAATATGTCCTGATGTTTACGCTTTTTTGATTAAAGACATTGTTCATAGGCTTAATGCATTAGAAGGTGTTGTTAGATGGGTAAATAGGACAGCCAATTTAGAGGCTGATGCCTTAGCTAAAGAAGGAATTGGCTGAACTAGTGTTGATGTTTATGGGTCCTAAGGTTGATTTGTGTTTATCTGTTTCTGTTAAGAGTGTGTTCCAGGTTGTATCTTATGTATATTCTTATGTTCAATAAAATCCTAAGGCACTCTTTTTCTCCTTCCACTGACTAAGGAGCTTTCCTATAAGCTCCATTAATCAAGAAGGGGGTTTTTAACGAGGCCTGAAATTCTTTTAAAACAAATGTGTGCAGTCTTATTGTTATAATGTTTTGTGTTTAATTTCGGGTATTTTTTAAGGTGTACTCTTATGTAATTATGGTTTATCTATAAATTGAGGTACTCTTTTCCTCCTTCCGCTAGTTACCTCTTCACAAGAGCTAACTATGAGGGAGGTTTTTAATGAGGCCTCCTATTTCTATCAAAAATAATAATAATAATTCACCTGCGATGAATACATCCAAGGGAAAGAGCAATTGAGCCAGCATAATAAGAATCTGTTATACCATTTAGCTCCCCAAGTAACGATCGAGTCTGCATATCAACAAAAATACACCGATCAGCTAATCAAACTAAATAAAACAACTCAAAATCATATAACTCTGGCAACAGTGAGCCTTAGATGTCAATTAAGTCTAATCCTTTTTTTTATTGCGAAAAAAATAAATGAAATGAAATGAAATGTATTTTTCCCAGTATCTCATTCTCAAAGGCTTTGACAAAAGAATATGCAAAGAAAAAAAACACATGAAAAAAGCTGACCATCCTGGCTGTAAAGACATCATTTCCAAAGCGAGCTAAAAGGCCAAAACCCTCTGATGATGCCCTACGTTGTGATGCACAAATGTCCCCCTCAATTAGTATACCCTATCAAATCAAAACAAGCCATGACAAGATGGAACTATGCTCAATTATTCAATAAAAATCACTATTTTTTTTATAAGAGATGTACCTTAAAAATAGCTTGGGCCAAATTTAATATCTCCAACTCCAATGATTGTGAACGTAAAGCGAGCAAAGCCTGAGGTTCATAAATATATCATAGGTTAAACACCCACACAGTTTTTTTAATATGCATAAGGATTGCAAGCACCTTCAAGCCAGCAAGTAACCCCACACATATATTGGTAATGCTTGCAGCATGCCATGGTTGCTTTTTCCCAGCTTTTAGGCACTGCTCCATCATTCCAAGAAGATACAGCATACCAGCGCTATTCTGCCATTTGGATGGACCGATTTATGTGGAAGTAATTTGAATAACCAGAATTTCAAGTAAAACAAATCAAACACCAAAAAAAGGTAATAATTTCACTAGAAGGAAAATAAACATCAAACAACACTGTATCATCTTACTTGAGCGGCAAATATAGTTCCAAGGCAGAGAAGCATTTGATTCACCAACATCTTGTTTATAGTCTCCGGCTACACAAAAGTAAAATTAAAATAAAAACACCAAAAATCTTAGTAATACTAACTGATTGATGATGGAGGAAAGATGTACGACAACTCAACACAAGTAAAAGATTAGCCTGAAAACAAAAACTGAGAACATATGTAATCAAGATTCTCAAGTTATAATCGAAAAGATAATCATATGGATTGCATAATTATGAACTAGAAATTTTTTTCTGCTGCAAAGTTGGGAAACCAAAGCAAGGAGGTAGGTTTGAGAGAGTGCAGATTTCCAATGCAAAGGGAAGTCTTAAGGACTAGTAAATTCTTTTGAAGCTCCAGCCATGGGTGTTGTTTTCTACTTACTTCCAACCATTCTGTTAATTAAAATTTAAAGATCATTCCCAGAAGTATTTACCACGTGGATTACATACAGATGATTGTAGTTCATAGAAACATAGGGAAACATAGCATATTTTTTACGCTCCTATCAAAATGATCTCAGCACACAGTCCTACCCTCCCCAATCAAAGCTAAGGCACTCGAAAAAACAATCACCTGAGGAAAACTCGACAATTCATTATCCCAAACACAAGGCATGAGTCCATCTTTTCCACCTTGAAAAGCACGAAGTTCATCTTCAAACCAATCCCTGAGAGAAGACAAATCACATGTAGGTAAACTCTTAATTATATACTTGAAGAAATAAATCAACTGAGCTAGATAAAAATAGCCATAAAATTATATATCCCTGAGCTAGATAAAACATTAAAAGGGTGTTGAGAAGCTTAACAAACAGATAATACGAAATCCGAAAAAGCTTACAAAATGAAAAATATAGCAAGAAGACCAAATTCACACACCTTCCAGGAATCCAAGGGCCCAAACATGCATCTCTTTTGTCTAACAGGAACATCAAGCATGTGCTTTCCTCACATCCAGAAGCATTTCTTTGTCATAGAACAAAGCAAGCAGAAAAATCAATCATTCATGTTTTGAACAGAAAAATAGATCTGAATTTTCATCATTTAAAAAAAACACAATAAGTTAAATCACATAAGAGAGGAGTGATAATTACCTATAGGGAATTGTACACAATTGTATAATTCGAGAATGGTCACTCTTATAAGCCATAGGATCAGGGAGAGATTGATAGCCCATTAATGTTCTGATGATGAATATGTCCACTGCAGGCTTAATATCTGGTAGTTCTTTTTCAGCCAACAGAGAGATATAGGACAAAGCCCTGCATTGCAATGCATATTAACTTTATTTTCCTATATCCATAACTGTGCAATAACAATCTGTTTCCATATTAAAATAATATGCTAGACTAGAATCAGATAAATGCGGGGGTGAGGGGTTTGATGGGAAAAAAAGTAGCATATTAGGTCATACCTATTAAGGTAAAGCATCACTGGTTGAAGTAAAACCCCACTAATTGTCAAATTGGATGAAATGTAGCATCGTATGAACGATGTAATTGCATCAACTGCTGCAGACCACACACTAGAAAAGGAGGAGGAAAGGTTATCCATAGGAAAAGAAAAAACATAATAATTTACCTTTAAAAAAATCTATCATTTAAAAATATTTGAATGAATCCACTTTTCATTCTCTAAAGGAAACAAAACAAAAGAGAGACCCAGCAAATCCTGAACAAGCAGACATGATGGAATGAAGTTCATTCAGATTATTCATGAGAAAACAGGTGATGAAGTTCATTCAGATTATTCATGAGAAAACAGGTGATGGAACAACAAAAAATTCCATAACCCAGCAAAGTTGGCCCAAGTTCTTTTTCTTTCTTTCTATTTGTTAATTTTTTAATGGGAATCCAACCTAATACCAATTGGCAATAGTCACCCTTGTTATCTTTATGTGCCCAAGTAAATTTGGCAATATAAGACATGATACATACACAAAATGGAAAATATAACCAATAGTTGACCAAAACAATACACAACATGAATATACGGATGTGCCAAAATCTATATAGCATGAATTATTAATGTATCAAAAGTGATGAATATATAGCACCTTAAACATGTTCATGACAGGGCAAAGTACATTATAAAAGAAATCCCATCTCAAAAACACTGTGGCAGGCGTGTGCCTAATTGAGTATAGGACATGTACATACACGGAATGGAAAATATCACATGAATTGAGTATAGGACATGATATTCAATAGGCTCCAGGGACCTTTTGGCAATATAGGACATGATACATACACGAAATGGAAAATATAACCAATAGTTGACCAAAACAATACACAACATGAAAAAAAAAACACAAATACAACATGAATATACGGATGTGCCAAAATCTATATAACATGAATTATTAATGTATCAAAAGTGATGAATACAATGCACCTTAAACATGTTTATGACAGGGCAACGTACATGTTTATGACGGGGCAAAGTACATGATAAAAGAAATCCCTCACATGGCTTGTTATCCCATCTCAAAAACATTGTGGCAGTCACAACTAACTTCACTTAATTCATCCATTTTAAGAAAAAAACATGAGAGAGAGTGTCAGAGAGAGAGTGAGAGAGAGTGTCAAAGGTTATCCCGGTGAGGAATGGACGGTGTTTGTGGATAACCTAAGTAAGAGAGTTTCTAGGCGTGTGTTAAGGGATTTTTTTAGCCCTTCTGGTCAGATTTTAAGAATTTTCATTCCTCGATTTTTAGAGAAATCAAATTACAAGTCCTCTACTTTTGCCTTCGTTCAATTCGCAGAGGAGAGAAGTAGGAAGATAGCAATCCAGTCTGTCAATGGGAAGTGGTTCGATGGGAGAAGACTCTATATAGGGGCAGCTAAGTACCAGAATGCAAAGAGGAGGGAGCTTGTTCGTGGGAAAAGGTCATTGTTGTTAAAGCAGGGGATTCAGGATACTTCAAGTATTGGGAGGAAGAGTCGGTCGATAAAAAGCTTCAGGGACAATAGATCGTATAAGGAGGTTGTGCAGCCTGATGTCGTACCTAATAGAGAACAAGTGTCAGGGTTTAACCTGAAGGGTATCACACTGAGAGTAGAGGGCCAGAAAATGCACAGCTATAGAGAAGGAGGAAAAGAAACCTTTGGACACTTACATCCCAACGGAGGATAGGACGTGGCTGAGGTCGTCCTTAACGGGCATTTGTAAGGAGAGCTATGAAGTAGACTTTGTGCAGAGGGCTCTAAGGACTGAAGGTTTCAATGTCAATGTGGTTAGGTGGGGGTACGCAAGAAACGCTTGTTTAGTTGTTTTCCGATCAGTGGAGGAGAAGAGTGTATTGATGGAGGAAAAGTGGGAGGCTTTGTCTTTCTTGTTTGACAGGTTGGAGCCTGTTATGGATGAGAAGTGTGTGCCATTACAGTATTGTGCAGTTTCTCTGATCGGGGTCCCATTAAATTGTTGGCCTATCCCATTTTTCACTAGTCTGGCTTCGAGATGGGGTAAGTTGGTGAAGATTCAGGAGGAAACAGCTAGTAGAGTGGATTGCAGAGTGGCTCAGCTGCTGTTGAGGATTGAAAGCCCATTCGATATTCCTCCCCATGTCTCTGTTAATACATTGGGAAGGTCGTTTAAGATCATGATTAAGGTGGATGGAACTGAAGATTATTTTTCGGTGCTTGAAGATGTGGTGGAAGAGGTCGGATCAGTGGATCCTTGGGAGGGTAACTCCTCCGAAGGGAGTCAAGGGGAGGACGTTCATGGTCAGGATGGGAAACTGGGGATCCAGGCATTGTCAAAATCTTTGAATAGGGTGGAAGCATGGCTCCGGGATAATCCACGTGGGAGTGGTACGATTTTCAATGGGAATGAGCATGGGAATGTTGTTTTTAATGATATTGGGGTTGAGAATGTATGCTCTGGGGAGACAGTAAGTGGTGGGATTCCAAGTCAGCAGGAAGTTGGGGGGATTTTATTGATGGTAGAGAAAGGGGTTTAAGCACGGAGAAGGCCACCTTGGGGCATAAAAATGTTATCCAAGTTAGTGGGTCTAGAATTCAAGGCAGCCCATTATCTAATAACGTGGTTTTAAAGTCTGTTGATTTGTTAAAAGATAGACTTCGGATTCAGTTTTTTCCTCGGGCTAGAAGTTCTATTAATCGGAGGAAGTTAAGAATCGCCCCACTTCGCTCAGGTAGCTCGGAGGGCGAAGTGTCGATCAGTTTTCATGACAGAGTTTATAGGAGGGTTAATTCAAGTTGGGTTGGGGATTCGTTGGTAGATGCTAGCTTGTCTGCAAAGTCTTCCCATTCCTCTTTGAATGCTAGGATTGAAGTTGCTGCCACAAGGGAAGTGTGTTATCTGTTGGGAATTACTTTTATACGGGGTCAAGGGTTATTAGAAGAAGAGATTTTTAAGAGGGAGAGGAAGGGGTATGCGGGGGATAGGGATTAATTTTCTATTCTCTTTGAGGGGTGTTATGTTTTTTCTACTAAATGTCAAATCTTAAAATTATTTCTTGGAACATAAGGGGTATAGGGAAAAGGGAGAAAAAGAGAGCAGTGTACAGACTGGTAAAGCAAATTAAACTGGCCATTTTGCTCTTGCAGGAGACGAAACTTAGTAAATGTTCGAATGGGTTACTTAGGAATTTAGGGGGATTCCTGTTGAAGGGAGGCTCTTGTCAACGAGCAGAGGGGTCTGCAGGAGGTTTGTTGTGTTTGTGGAATGAGAATGTTTTTGAAGTAACTAGTCAATTTAATCAGAACAGATTTGTGGCGTTATCAGGAAAACTCAAGGTGTCAAATTTTGAGTGTGCAATTATAAACGTACATGGACCAGCAGTAGAGGCTGAAAAAGAAGAGTTTTTTATAGAACTGCTGAGTTTTGTTCACAGGATTAATTTTCCAATATGCATCGGGGGAGATTTCAATGCATATCTTGTTCAAGAAGTGAAATGTGGAGTTTCACAGAATTGGCATTCAATGGAGCTGTTTAGGTTTTTTTTTTGCAACAATCTAATCTAATAGATCTTCCACTTTTAGGAGGCAGCTTTACTTGGTGTAGTAATAGGGAGGCTTTGACTTGGGTTAGACTCGATCGGTTCTTAGTCAGTGGCAGTATTTTAAGTGGTTTTCCTAAACTGTTACAAAGAATGCTTCCAAAGTCCCTCTCTGATCATAACCCGACGCTGTTGGATGAAGACTGCAAAAATTGGGGCCCTAAGCCTTTCAGGTTCTTTAACTACATGTTAGAGGAAGATGGTTTTGTAGATGTTGTTCAAAATGTTATTGCAGATTGCGAATTGGTTAGAGGGAGAAAGGGAATTTACAGTATCTTGCAAGGGACGAAACAGATGATTAGAAAGTGGCCTAGCAAAAGTCATATGGGATTTTTAGAAGCCATTACAAAATTAGAAAGCAAAATTAACGATTTGGAGCTTAAGGCCCAACGCACAGGGATTTCTTCGTAGGAACGGGATCAACTTTTGCTTTTCAGAAAGGAGCTGTGGATATTGCACAGGATTGAAGAGAGTATTTGGTGCCAGAAGTCGAGGGTGAAATGGCCCAAAGATGGTGACAGAAATACCCGGTTTTTTCATTTATGTTCTTTGAACAGGAGCAGAATCAATAACATTTCTGCATTAAATGTGGCGGGAGAGGAGCTAATTGATTCCGACTGAATTAAGTCCTTTGTTTCAGATTATTTAAAAAAAATGTATAATTCTAAGGATACTCTGAAAGTAGAAGACTTGCATTTTTCTTTTGCAAAAAACAGTGTGGAACAAAGGAACAGCCTGGAGGTAAAGTTTTCAAAGCATGAGGTTAGGGAGGCCATTTTTTCCTCGGATAATGCCAAAGCACCTGGGCCGGATGGGTTTTCGATGGGATTCTACAAGAAATTCTGGCCTATTCTAAAGGTGAAAATTTTGAAGTTTGTGGATGACTTCTATGGTGGAAGGAAATGGGATCATGGGGTTAACCATTCATTTATCACTTTGATCCCAAAGAAGAGTAATTCGGCTTGCATTGAAGATTTCAGTCCTATAAGTCTTGTGGGTAGTTTATACAAAATAATCTCTAAAGTTTTATCAAAGAGACTTATTTCAGTCATTAAGGATATTGTCAGCCGTCCCAGTTTGCTTTTATACCGGGGAGACAGTTGCTAGACTGTACCTTTCTTGCGAATGAAGGCATTCACTTATGGAGAAAACAAGGGTTGAGAGGGGTCGTTTTCAAAGTTGATTTCAAGAGAGCTTATGATTCTATAGAATGGCCAATTCTTCTAAGATTATTGAGAGTCATGGGATTTAGCGAGCGATGGGTATCATGGATAGAGTTTTGTCTTTCTTCGGCATCAATCTGGATTCTGTTGAATGGCTCACCTACAGAGGAATTTTCTATGGCTAAAGGACTTCGACAAGGATGCCGTTTATCCCCTCTTTTGTTCAATATAGTTGGAGAACTCCTGAACCTTATGTTGATTAAAGCTTCTAGTTTGGGTCTCTTTCAAGGGTTTTCGATTGGGTGTTCTGCTCCCTTTCAATTAACTCACCTACAATTT